TTTGAACCCTTCAAGCCCCACGTTGGGTGCCAAAAAGGACTGTCATGGTTTAAGCCCAGTTGGCAAATAAGCACCACACAGCCGCTGGCTCACTCCCCCCACCCGGGTGGGATGGGGGAGAGAATTGGAAGGGTAAAAGTGAGAAAACTCGTGGGTTGAGATAAGAACAGTTTAATACTTGAAATAATAATAATAATAAATTGTAATGAAAACTAAAACAGAGAGAGAGGAACAAAACCCTTTTTCCAAACCAAGCTGGTAAAGCAAGATTTTGAGGTTCAGGGTTTTGTCTGATGCAGAGGTAAATGACCCATCTGTGGGCTTCTCATGATGCGCAGTTGGGAATGGGAAGTATTCAAAACGTGTCTACTACATACTTTTTGTTTCTGCATTTTCACCAGTGCTTTCCTGTTAACAGGAACATGCATCTAATTACAGGGAAAACCACAAATAGCCGTTTCCATCAACACGTTAGTCTTGTTCCAAACAGACCCACAAAGTTCTCCCTTCCCATCAGAGCACTATCCTGCTCAGCTGTCACTGGGGCACCGTGAGATACTGTTTTCGGAAGCCAGTCTTGCAGAACAAGCACTTGCAGATTGTTGGTTATTTTTATATATCTCTTACCATAAGCCATGTGAGTGACTAGATGAACAAAACACGAATGTAAAGCCTCGTAGCTTAGTGTTGTGTTCTGTTCTGTTATTTTAATCCCAACACAATTGTTCCTACTGCATAGTCCAGAGTGGTTTTTCCAAATGATTTAACACCTGATTTGGGGATCAGCTTGAAATGATCTCCCTGCAACCAAATAGAAGGAACTGTGAATGCTGTGACATAGCTTACGGGTGTCGTCACCAAAATTTACCATTGAAGAGGGCTTATCTACTGTGTTTGTAATTGAGTTGTACATAATTTTACTTTATAATCTGAGTGTAACCAGTCAAGTGCAATTCTGAAGTATAAATGTTGGATATGTACGTATTGGAAGCTCTCTGTCAATAAAAGGGATAAAAACCTTGAGTAACGCATGTCTTGCTGCTTGTTTTAGGCTCAGAAAGCATCCTCCGCTATGTGAGGTGGGGAGCTGGAGGTTGCTGCGGCTGCTTCTACATCAAAAAGTCCTGTCTGTGGATTGTTATTCTTCCAGCCAGCAGCGAGGGATGGTGCCAGCTTGGATGAGTCCCGGAGCAGCCAGGGTCAGGTCAGGAGGATTCGGGTCCACAGCTGCAGGGCGGTGTGCGGGGCTGGGCTGCACACTGCACCTCCCGGCCCGAGTACCCACGGCCCCGAGGGACAGACGTGTCCCACGTGTGTGGGAGGAGGGAATGCCCCGCTCTGCCCTTCCCGTAGCCGGGCAGGCAAGCCGTGCCCCTTCAGCTGGTTCATGGGAAGGGCTGCCATCACCGCCTGGGGACTTGTGGCAGAGCGTGGGTCACTTCCCCTAACCGAGGATGCTCTTGACCGAGGGCACAGTTTGGCTAACAGCACCGTGCCTGCACCCACCCCTCTTTCACAGATCCCCGTGGGCCACGCGGTGGGTACCAGGGGCCCATCATCCCCTGCCAAAAATAGCAGCAGAAGCAGTGTGTGGGACCTGCAGCCTCCCCGGGGGTGGTGGCTGCGCCCACCCTGTGCCAGGGAGCCCACGGGTTCCTGTCCCGCAGCCCCGGGAAGCCCCGCAGCTGCAGCTCCTTCCGCATGCGGGGGGTGGCAGGGGGAACTGGGGTGCCTATATCTTCCCACAGCCCCCTGGGAGCTGCAGTCTGCGCTGGGGACCGGAGCATGGTGCTCGCCTTCGCCCTCTGCCTCCTGGGCAGCTCCGCTTTGCTCCTGGCCACCGCGGCTGGGGCTCAAGGTAAGGGAGACCGGCAGGTCTGCACCTCTGAGGCCTTCCTCCCATGGCCCTCCTCTTCTTCATTGCTGCTCCTCTCCTCACTGATTCTTTTGCTTTTCCCTGCGGAGGCAGATAGGAGCCCTGTGCTGGTCCCAGATGGACCTTGGCACGCCAGACCCTGAGCATCACAGAGCCTCTGAGCTGCTCCACTAATGAGAAAGACCCTCTGGGATAGCACCGGGGCCACCCCGTGCCCTTCAGCAGCTGGGGGAAATGGAGTTATAACCTCGCTACGGGAGGCTATGGAGAGTCTTTCACAACCTGCTCAGCTTCTTGTAAAAGGGGCTTGACCTATGTGTTTAAACTGCCAAAGTAAAGCTGGTTACGGATATGGCATCTTATGGCAGTGAGACAAGAAGCCTGTTCCGATAATAGATTGTGTTTGAGCTCTGTCATGTTGAAACTTGCTGTGATGTATAGAAATGCATTGGGACTGTGCTGGTTGGCATGTTTGGTCCCGCAGGGCACGAAAGCCTGGCAGGTAGCCCGAGGTGCCCTCTCGTTTGGGACGGGATAGCCAAAACCTACAGAAACTCAGCTCCATCACTGCAGTATGGTTTTGTTTATCCCTTCCCGTCTTGTAAGCATAGGTGCTGCAACCTGGCTGCCCTGGCAAGGTTTGAGAAGTGCTTTGGTACTGTATGGAGAAGACTTCTGCCTCTATCCTCAATCATGTTGATTGAGGCGTCTCAATCTCACGTCCCTCACGGCGTCTTGAGAGACCAAAGGCTGACCCTCCTGCCTTAGCTGGCTGCGGTGGCTCAGTGGCAGGCTGGGAGTCAAGCATTGGTGGCTGCAAAGGGTTGGGTTATGTTTTTTGAAAAAAAAAAAGAATTATCACTAAGTTAACACTTTGTAAAAAGGTCAAGTTGTATTTTCTTCTGTTATACTTGGTTTTCTATATGTTCAGCTGATGTATGTGCATTTGGTTTGCCAGCCTTGTGGAAGTAACTGTCATTGCTCACGTGTGCTGTTTGGTGCCAGAGAGCTGTGGTTCTCCCGCAAAGCCAACCTCAGAGCTGCGCGAAGGGGTGCAAAGGGCGCAGCGGAGATGGGCTGCACCTGAGCAGCTCAGCGGGACAGAACTGTGGCCCTTTACTCAGTAACCCAAAGGATATTACACCAGCAAGAGGTGTTTCTTTTACCTTCTTTCTACATTCCCGTATCTACTGCAAATATTTGCCTAGTGAACAAAAAGCTACTTCCCTGTGGTTGTGGTTCTGAATGCCTGTCTGCCTGCCCGCCTCTCTGCATGTCTGCCTCTCCATCTCTCTCTTTCTCTCTCAATGCAAACAACCCCCAGGTACCCCTGGAAGCACACCAGCAGGTTCATGGGCAGGTCCCTTGTCAGGTGCAGCAGAGGCTTTGCCCTCGCTGGCGTGGGTCCATCCCCACACCGTCACGGTGGTGCCATGGGCAGCATGGCATGGCACCCCCAGCCCACGCTGTGCACCCTCTGCCTGGCTCTCTCGCACAGCTGCCTGCCCCAGGTAGCACAGACCCCTGGAGTGCAGTTCGGTCGGTCCTGGACAGTCCTGCCAGCATTTCCCCAGGTTGGATCGGATCGAGGGGGTGTGCTCCCCAGCCCACGGGTTAGAAGCATGCAGAAAGGCCATGAAAGGCTTTGACCTCACCAGGTGATTGACATGAAATCCTGGACACCCTGTTCTTGCCAGCTGAGGAAGCAGCAGGGTCCCCCAGCAGCGCAGGGAGGAGCCCTGCAGCCCCGGGAGCACTCGCCCTGGCTGCAGCCTCCGCTGCGTCCCATCACTCAGGGATCAATGGGCTGCGGGTTAGAAGCATGCAGAAAGGCCATGAAAGGCTTTGACCTCACCAGGTGATTGACATGAAATCCTGGACACCCTGTTCTTGCCAGCTGAGGAAGCAGCAGGGTCCCCCAGCAGCGCAGGGAGGAGCCCTGCAGCCCCGGGAGCACTCGCCCTGGCTGCAGCCTCCGCTGCGTCCCATCACTCAGGGATCAATGGGACACCATCAACACGGCAACCATCACAGGCAGGAACAGCTTGAGAGCTGTGTAGGTAAACAATGTTTTATTTCTCTCCCTTTTCCAGCTACCCTATGTCCGTTGCCACACATCCGGCATGGGAAGAGAGTACCCGCTGCTCACTATTTCTACAGGCCCGGGGACACCATAAGCTTTGCATGCCACAGAGGGTATACCTTGCAGGGCTCCCGCACAAGCAAGTGCCAAGCTGACTTCAGATGGAGCCCACCTCTGCCAGTGTGCAAAAAGGGCAAGTGTCCCAGCGCGCGGTGCGAGCGGTGACAGCTGCGGGGGAAAGCTTCCTCTTGTGTCCTCTCAAATTCAGTGGGAAAGCAAAGCCGGGATGCATCTGTCCTCCTCGCTTGTCTTCTCAAACCAAAGTGCTGCCAGCTTGGCTCTCAGAGAGACAGGAACAGCTCAGAAGAAAGGAGCTGGGGTGGGACATGGGGCTGGCTGCAGCCTGCCCTGTCTTGGGCTCCAAGAGGGATGGGGAGAAGTTAACCCTGGGGCTGAGTTGCTGTGCAGCAGGAGGCTGTAACCTCCCCAGCACACTCAGGAGCCATATGCGAGCTGTGGGGATGGCAGTATCTGCTGCCCCAGGGGAATTTCTGTGACTCTGCTTCTGGTCAGATGTGGGATGTTTTCATCTTCCTCCTGGAACGGGAAGTAATCACAACTTCTTGTTGCTCTTGCTGCTTCCATGTCCATGTGCATCTTCTGCCAAATCCCATGATGTGCCTGTGAGTTCTCCTGTCAGGACTGTCCTTATTATTAGTAATTTTCTCCCAGCTGCAATGCGATTGTAATCTTGGTGCTGCTGTACGTTGTTAACTAATACTTTGGTCCAGCAAATGGAACAAAGACTGAGCAGAATTCAGGATATTACCCTGATATTACCCAAACAGTCCTAGTAGCACATAAATGGCAAACAGCTGACCCACATGGCAATTTCCCTCCCTCTCCAGAGGTGACGTGTCCTCAGCCACCAAACATCGCCAACGGGCTGCACAGCGGACAGTCCCTGGACAAGTTTCCCCTGGGAGTGACCGGTACTACGGCCTGCAAGGATGGCTATGAGCTGATTGGGAACGTGTCCATCAACTGCACGGAGGACGGGCTGTGGAGCAAGCCCCTGCCCCGCTGCGAAGGTGGGTGGATGCTTCATTGCTAGGTGTGGGGCTGGCAGAAAGGATGCTGGATGTCCTGGTTGTAGGAACAGTGCAGACAGGTTTATGGCAGTGATGAGAAGGGAGGGGGCTGTGTGTGCAGGATCGGACCCATGCATTGAAGTTTAAAGGATGCCGTCCATGTTTCCTGCAGCAACTGGCTGCGAAATACCCGAGGTGCAGAACGGGAAGGTCTATGGGCTGCAAAGCACCTACAAAGCTGGAGAGACTCTTCACTTTGCCTGCAACGCCGGTTATGCCGCAGAGGACACCTACGAGATTCAGTGCCAGCCGGGGGGGACCTGGGATCCGCCAGTGCTCACCTGCGAGAGGGGTGAGTGCGGGTGCCCGCTGCTTCCCCGAGGGCAGCCCTGCCCGGCGGGTGCTCCTTGCAGGCAGGAACAGCGTGTGCAGGCTGAGCCGTTCCTGCGATGGGCTTTAACCCCTCAACGCAGCATCACACCGACTCCCTTCCCCTTGCACGCTGTTCTCTCGCTGAGTTAAGACTTTGTCTCCCTGTTGCAGTCCGACCGTGTCCCATGCCTCCGGGGGTTCGCAACGGAAATCACAATGGCCAGGGCAAAGCAGATTTTACCATGGGAACGTCTGTAACATACACCTGTGATCCCGGCTACTACCTGGTTGGAAATGCCGTTGTGTTTTGCAGAGCATCAGGGAACTGGAGCCAGCCCGGCCCTCGCTGTGAAGGTGCGTCTGTGGTCTGTCCCTTCGGGGGAGAAGCTCATAGTGTGGCTCTGAGCACAGGGGAGACCCTGACTGTTGTCACTGAGACCTTCAGTGAAGGATTTAATTCCCCTTTAAAGAAGTATACAGTTTTATAATATGTAAAGAATAAGCTTGCATCCGTGAATCTGGAGCTAGGTATTTCTGTAACTGTGGCTGCATGTGCCGTGCCTCTCGCGCTGGGGCTGGGTGCTGGTGACCCCGCAGTGTATGACCAAGAACTGGCACATCACTTAATGTGAGACCAAGTGCAAAGGGGTGTCCAGAGCCAGCACCCTCCTCCCAGTGCTCTGGCTGCAGCACGCCCACAGTGAGCCGGCCAGTGACGGTGCTGGGGACCAGGCATGGGCATGGGGTGCAACACAGCCTTCAGGGGGAGACCGGATGGATTTTTATGAATCAATTCAACCTTCTTTGTCCAGAAAACTCAGAGGAAAGACGGGGCACCCAAGGGCTGGCTGTCAGGACAGACCCAGCAGAACCTGGGGTGGGAGCCCTCTGCCATCCCCCTTCACCTTCCCCCATGCCTGACGTGCAGGTTTGAGTTGAGCTGTCTCTCAGGCATCGCCTCTCATGGACACTCTCATGGGCCTTTTCCCTCGCTCTCCAGAGGTGACGTGTCCTCAGCCACCAAACATCGCCAACGGGCTGCACAGCGGACAGTCCCTGGACAAGTTTCCCCTGGGAGTGACCGTGTACTACGGCTGCAAGGATGGCTATGAGCTGATTGGGAACGTGTCCATCAACTGCACGGAGGACGGGCTGTGGAGCAAGCCCCTGCCCCGCTGCGAAGGTGGGTGGATGCTTCATTGCTAGGTGTGGGGCTGGCAGAAAGGATGCTGGATGTCCTGGTTGTAGGAACAGTGCAGACAGGTTTATGGCAGTGATGAGAAGGGAGGGGGCTGTGTGTGCAGGATCGGACCCATGCATTGAAGTTTAAAGGATGCCGTCCATGTTTCCTGCAGCAACTGGCTGCGAAATACCCGAGGTGCAGAACGGGAAGGTCTATGGGCTGCAAAGCACCTACAAAGCTGGAGAGACTCTTCACTTTGCCTGCAACGCTGGTTATGCCGCAGAGGACACCTACGAGATTCAGTGCCAGCCGGGGGGGACCTGGGATCCGCCAGTGCTCACCTGCGAGAGGGGTGAGTGCGGGTGCCCGCTGCTTCCCCGAGGGCAGCCCTGCCCGGCGGGTGCTCCTTGCAGGCAGGAACAGCGTGTGCAGGCTGAGCCGTTCCTGCGATGGGCTTTAACCCCTCAACGCAGCATCACACCGACTCCCTTCCCCTTGCACGCTGTTCTCTCGCTGAGTTAAGACTTTGTCTCCCTGTTGCAGTCCGACCGTGTCCCATGCCTCCGGGGGTTCGCAACGGAAATCACAATGGCCAGGGAAAAGCATTTTTTACCGTGGGAACGTCTGTAACATACACCTGTGATCCCGGCTACTACCTGGTTGGAAATGCCGTTGTGTTTTGCAGAGCATCAGGGAACTGGAGCCAGCCCGGCCCTCGCTGTGAAGGTGCGTCTGTGGTCTGTCCCTTCGGGTGAGAAGCTCATAGTGTGGCTCTGAGCACAGGGGAGACCCTGACCATTGCAACCAGATCCTCAGAGAAGGTTAATCCCATGTAAAGTGTTGCATGGTATAAATTAATTTCAAGCCCTTCTATTGTGACGGTGGGGCTGGGGAGGTTTATGTAGATGTCACGTAGGTTTTGTTGTTGCAATATTAACAGCCTGTGAGTTTTTTGGTTTGTTTTGTTCTGACTCCTTTTGCACATCACTTCTGTTCATCATCACTTCCAGCGACCATCTGCATAAATCCACATATAGAGAATGGAAAGCAAGTTGATGGTCAAGGACTTATCTTCGCGCCTGGGCAAATGGTGACATTTCAGTGTCACGATGGTTACAGCCTGCAAGGCAGTGCTAGAATCTTCTGCCAGGATGATGGCAGCTGGCACCCTTCTGTTCCCGTCTGCAGTAGACTGTACCATTACCAGGAGTTCTCAAACAGGCCTGAACTTCCAGGTAAATAGTGACATAGCTGCCTTGGGGTACACTACTATTTTATGTCCCCTAACCCCATTAAAAAAATGTGGTTAAACCCTGTGGTGGAAGATTTAAGTATATCCTGGGAATAAGAACCTGATCCTCTGGAATCCTTTGGGAAAATATGTTGTATTTGTTTAATAATGGCTATATTAATCAAAATAAACAATTTTGCAAGGCAAACCAAACACCTTTCTCATAACAGTGTTCTTTCCGTGCTTGCGCCCGGCATGCCTGTCCTGCCTGATTCTCACATCTGTTTTCTTTCTCAATAGGTGGTTGTGGTGCTCCTACAAGGTTACACTTTGCTGAGCTAAATGAGGAGCATAAAAATGAGATTGATTTTTCTGTTGGGAAGACTGTGCAATACACTTGCCGACCTGGATATGCTAAACACCCAGGAATGTCACCTACTATTACATGCCTTGAGAGCGGAGTGTGGTCAGAAGCACTAGAGTTCTGTAAAAGTGAATAGCTCCTTGATTTGGTGTCTGTTATTCAAGAAGGAATAGGTGCTAGGTTCTGTCCATGCTGCAAAAACCTGAACCTTATTCTGGTGTTCAAATAGTATGTGACTAGTAAAGCCATGTAACTTTATGCTATTCAAAACCCATTTTGGGGGTAACTGGAAATGTGGACAGATTACTGGACTAACAGTCAGATCTGTTGTACTGTGGTATAGACAGAGATAAGCCTAAAATGAGGTTTTTTTCTCCCCCAGGGAAACAATGCAGTCATCCCGGTGAACCTGTGAATGGGAAAATAATTTCCCTAACAGATCGCCTGTTTGGGTCAACAGTGGTCTACAGCTGTGAAGAAGGGTAAGTCCTGGTTTTGGCAACTGCTTAAAACAGCAAGGAGAGATGTATTAGGTAAGTCTCCCTTTTTTCCTCCTATTCATTCATTCCCAATAAATGGATTATATACAGAAGCCACTCTATAGAGTCCTGCACCTATATGAACACATAAGGTGTTCCCTATCTTATGTGTATACGTATATACTGTGAAATTGGTAAGGTGGTGCTGAGCGAGGAAGGAAACTTCTTCAGGGCCAGAGCTTTGCTGACAGCGGGGCTGATCACGCCTTCCGGGGTGGCGAGGAGGAGGTAGTAACTTACACTGAAATGACTTGGGATGAATGTTCAATCCTTTTAACACCAGGCACAGGTTAATTGGACAATCCAGGAGACGGTGTGAGATTGCTGGTGGACGTGTTGCATGGAGTGGCGACATTCCCACTTGTCAGCGTAAGTAGCTTACAGCTCCGGGGGGGTTTGCATGGATCCGGTAAATATTTTCCAGCAGAGACTGCCAAATCTTTCCAATCAAAGCTTTCACAGGGAATTTCTCTGCTCTGTGGGCATGAAAAATATCAGAAGGTTTTGATGTCGAAAGAAAATGTTCTGGGAAAAGGTACAAGATCTCAAAGCTTAATGGATTATAGAAAGCAATGGCTCAGCTGGAGCTTTTTCAGCAGTGCTTGGGTATCCTGTCTCTGACTAACATCACAAGCCCATTACAAGAGAGGAAGGGAAAATATTATCTTCAGCTTAAGGGTTGTTATTGTTAGACACAGAGAGACCAAAGCACAACCCTCAGAAGAGGCAGAGCGCTGTGGGAGGGCCAGAAGTGGAATCCCAAAGTCCCAAACCGCGGGCTCTCTCTTTCACTATGAGCATGGATAACTGATGTGTACCCAAAGAGCTGCCGTGCCGCACCTCAGCAATTACACCTGAGTGTTTCTCTGCTGATTAACTACTGTTGCTGATTAGGTGACAGTTTCATACAAGTAAGAAACATTTACTGGCACGTTCTGGTATTTTAAAGCATTTTACAGGTTCTCCAGGTACATATTAACCTAAGGTGACATAGGTTAATTTCAAATTTCTGCCTGTGCGTGCCTTTGCACTGTGTGCAGCTGAAAAATCAGGATTTTACACAGGCGATACAAAAGAAATACTTGCTTTTTTATTTCTTAAACAGTAGAAAAGATAAAGCAGGTAGGTGTTTCCTCCATAGAGGTTTGTCTTACTGGTCTGCTTTCTGTCATAGAAATAGCTGACCAGGGAGATGGGATCCAGTTGCCTACAAGGCCTCAACTAGAAGGTCACTTCATTGCAGTTACTCCATCTCTAGGACAAGTGTTTATGCCCCACAGACTGAGGGATTTAAAGTACTTTGGTGCTGCTGTTGAATTTAGAAGCCTTGTTCTGCACCTCTGCAGGTATCCCTTGTGAGCCGCCTCCGGACATTCCCAATGGGAAGCACACGGGCAGGCTGCTGGATGAATTCCACTTCGGCACATCTGTAACATACACCTGCAACCCCGGGTACCCACTCCACGGAGAGCCCTCCATCTACTGCACCACCCAGGATGGGAAAAACGGCGTGTGGAGCGGGCCACCCCCGCAGTGCGGAGGTAGGGTTGTGCGTGCACATCCTAATACTCGGGTGCAATCCTCCCTGCCCTACTGCTTCATATTCGGAAAGCCTAGGAAACCTCCAGACAATTGCACTTCTTGCCCGAGTGCCTGCTAGGGCAGGATTTGCACGGGCTGATTTGCAGCTGTGGCCAGGCAGAGGGGAGGAGGCTGGAGGACCACCCCACTGCCTCCAGCATCCCCAGCCTCACCTTTCGGTTTGGGTCTCTCCCTCAATGTTTGCCATCTCTGGATGCAGGCAGTACATCATCTATGAGAAAATTATTTTCAGACTTGTGTCTTAAAAGGGATTGCAACTCTTAAGTGGCTTTGCAGCTGCACAGCTCTGCACACTGCGTGTTTTGAGGACCCGCACTTCTTTTCCAGAGGCAAGATGTCCTGTCCCGCAGGTCAAGAATGGGAGAATAGTGTCTCCTAGGACTGCCTACACACACAAGGATACCATTGCCTTTGAGTGTGAGCCAGGCTATGTTCTACACGGCCAGAGTGTGGTACAGTGCCAACTAAATAACACCTGGGAGCCACCCGTGCCAGTGTGCGAGCAGGGTAAGTGTTCCAACAGCGCTCTGAATGTTAACCTTTCTCCTGCTCTCCCAGATCTGCTTTTTCTTGACTCCTTTAACAACTGGGTTGGCTTATCTTTCTTGGTAGCTGGCTGCAATGCACCTACCAGACTGGCGTTTGCTGAGCTGAAGGAGCCGTACAGCAACCAGACCATCTTTCCCGTGGGGAGGAAGGTGGAATACGTGTGCCGGCCTGGGTACACCTGGCACCCGGGCATGCCGCCAGCCATCACATGCCTCAGGAATCGGACATGGTCTGCAGCGCTGGAGTTCTGTAAAAGTACGTCCTGCAAGTGCTGAAAAACCTGAAGTGTCAGGCTTGGCTGGATTTTCACATTTTTCTGGCATTATGGGTTTCTTTACTTTATGTGGTCCGCTCTCTGTGTCGGCATCCCTGGGTGGGATGTGAGTGAGCAGCTGAGGGCTAATGGTGGCTGATGTTCCCTTCCAGGGAAACAATGTGCTAACCTAGGGGATCCGGAGAATGGCAGAGCTGTTGTCCTGACGGACCTCCTCTTCGGGTCCAAAGTGAATTACACCTGTGACGAAGGGTGAGTCTTGTGACTAGCTGAATTCAGCTGCCAAGTGAGAGTAAAGCAGATTTTTAGCTTTACATGACGGAACGTAGTTCCCAAGTCAGAAGTCTTGGCTGCCACTTACAAGGATTGTAAAGAAATCTCAAGTCTCCTAATGTAAATTAATAAATTCTTCTGTGTGACTCCAGGTACAAGTTGGTTGGAGGCTCTCAGAGAACATGCGAGGTCTCTGGCACACGTGTCTCGTGGAGTGGAGATGCTCCTGTCTGCCAGCGTAAGTAGGCCACAACAAAAGGCCTTTGGAGATGGCTTGCAAGAGACAGTGGCACATCTTTCAAGACAAAGATTTTATTGCAAAAGATTTCTCAAGTCACTGTATGTGTCAAATCTTTAATTTTTCTTTTCATTTTGTTCTGGTTTGGATGTTTCTGAAAATGTTTCCAAAGGTCTTTCATTTATCCTGGTCCAAACTGGGAAAACCATTAATATTTTAAACTCCCTGTTACTGGGGTAAGTATTTCTCACTGGTCATGTGTAGGAATGGCGTGGCCAGTCTCTCTCTGCATGTGTCACCAATGGTTATGGAAAGGGAGGTAAGAATTGTCCCACCAGCTCCAGACATGGGCAGCAAGTAAGTGACTCACAGGAGGGCGCACGTTTTCCTTCCCACATGTGATTTTTTCCATACAAGGTTTGTCTCTGGATAATTTGGGTCATTGTATTCAGAGAGCATCACTGCTGAGACGGGTTCATCCCCATCGGTTCTCTTCCTGGGAAGCGTGTGTGTCCTGCAGACCCCAGGTGCTGCTGCAGCACTGATGCTAAAAGCCACCTTGTACGCGCCCACAGGTATCACCTGCGATCCGCCTCCGGACATCCCCCACGGGAGACACAGTGGGCACTTGACAGGCACCTTCTCCTACGCGGACGTGGTCATCTACACCTGCAACTCCGGCCACCTGCTGGCTGGAGAGCCCTCCATCTTCTGCACCATGGTGGACGGGGAGCACGGCGTGTGGAGCGGGCCGCCGCCGCGGTGCGGAGGTAGGGCTCTGCGGTGCACGGGCGTCCGTCCCCGCTGGCAAGAGTTGGTTGTGAGTGGCAGAAGGAATGACCGTGGCTGCGGTGGGGGCTGCACCCACTGATAGGAAGACAGCTAACATGACAGATATTTATTGAGAGGAGTTAATGGAATTAATTGTCTTCCTCCTTTGGTTTTTGAAAGTTGGATTTTTAATTTTTTTTTCTTGCCTTGTCCATATTTCTTACCTGCCTTTCCTTCTCCTTCACAGAGGTGAAGTGTCCTCCCCCTCCAGGCATCGCCAACGGGAATCACAGCGGCCAGTCCTTGGACACCCACCTTCCAGGTTCGACTGTGCAGTACACCTGCAGGGATGGCTACTCCCTCATCGGGAACGCCTCCATCAGCTGTACCGCCAGGGGAACATGGAGCCGGCCCCGGCCCCGATGTGAAGGTGTGTGTGTGTGTGTTGGCTTCTTTTACCTTTCCCCGGGTCCTTTCTTCCTTCTTGGCTCTTGGTCTAATCGCTGCAGACCAAATCTCCAGTGAGAGGCAGAGGCCAAAGATCCCACAGGCAGGAGGAGCCCCACCTGCCTCTGTGGATTTCTCTTTCTGCCCCCCAGTAAGGACAGACTACAAGTGCAGTTGAATAATGATATTTTGTGTAAGGATAAGAGTCAATGATGTTGACACGCCCATGATAGCGATGGCAAGGATCGGCAGCAGGCACTGCCCCTGGTCAGTGCCCCTCCGCACCCAGGATGGGCTTCGCGTCCCCAGCGGTGCCTTGTGCTCTTCACTTCCAGCAACCGGCTGCAAAAGACCAGAGATCGCAAACGGAAGAACGACTGGGCTGGAGACCATGTACAGACTCGCAGACATCATTGTCTTCGAATGCGATTTTGGTTACGCCTTGAAGGGCTCTCAAGAGTCTCGGTGCCAGTTTGGGGGCACATGGGACCCTCCTGTGCCCATCTGCGAAAAGAGTAAGTGTAAATGAGGCGGTGGGTGGCAGCCGATTTCTTCTGAACCACTGTGTGAGTGCACCTGGCAGGGTGCAACTGCCTCACCTTGGAGGTAAAGGGGCCACTCTCCAGGACTGGAAAGGAAAAACATGCAAATACCTGTCCACCCATCTTCATAACACCCATTCAGACTGTTGTTACGTAGGGCTTTCATCTCCTTAAATGAATCCACAAATGGAGAGAGAGCCAGGCTAGTGTCTGATCTTGTTCACAACCACAGAAAGGCCCGAGCAAGCTGGT